GAGCTGGTCATGACATTGACATAAAAATCATTGACCGGATATCCAAATTTTGCAATGACTGTCAGCTAAACGCTCATCGGCCTCTACGATTCAAATTTACCCTCACTAATAAAGATGTTCCATTCAATCATACAGTCTACGTCGACGTAATGCATCTAGAAGACGGACCGGCTGTACATCTAATAGACGCTGGAACTAACTTAGGATCAGCAGATTTCCTTACTGGGCCTGACAAAGAAGGGGCTATCTCTACTTGTAATTCAATTGAACGCTGTTGGAATAATGTCTACATTGATCCACCCGAAAATTTAATCCACAATGCCGGCAAGAACTTCGCATCCGCAGAATTCCGTGCAACCGCCTCGGGATGGAAGACCCGCGTTGTTGAAGTTCCCATAGAAGCGCACAATTCTATTGGAAAAGTTGAGCAGGCCCACAAAAATCTTCGCCGGGCTTATACCATTTTCAAACAACAATTTTCCGGGCAAAATGTCGACCGTCATTCAATCCTTAAAATGGCTGTAAAAGCACTTAACGACTCAGCTGGTCCAGATGGCCTTGTACCAACTCTTTGCGCGTTTGGTGCTTATCCCCGTATTACTTGGAACGATGCTCCCGCGCCAGTATCAAAACAAAGAGCGGACGCTATGCAAAAGGCAATGGACGAACTCCAAAAACATCGCGCCACACAGCTTATCAATCTAGCTAAAAATATGCGGAACGGACCACGGCATACTCACCTTGAAGATATTCCTGTGGGAGGTAAAGTTCGAGTGTGGCGCGAGGCAACGAAGAATACACGAGGAAAATGGACAGGACCGTTTGAATTGTACAACAAGGAAGGTGAGACAATAACGGTGCTAATAAATGGGGAAAAGAAAAACTTTCGATCAACATCAGTTAACAAATGGTTTGAAGATAACGAAGACCCTAATACCCAACGTGACGCTAGCTCAGACCTACCATCGTTAAATCCAGAAATCAATTTAGAAAATGATTCAATGCCATCACTTCAACTAAGACGCAGTCAAAGAGATGGTAGATTCACTGGCCAATACCAGACTGAAGATCACCTCAACATTAGCCCCGAAATACAATCTCATCTATATCTATCTCAAAATGAAGAAGCAATTCAACTCTCCCTTGACCTACGTTCAAAGGGTCTCATTAAAACTCCCGGACCACCATTTTTCGCTTCAACCAAAAAGGAAATAGACAGCCTGCTGGCGAATGATGTCTTCCAATTCATACCTTCGAACAATTTAATATTAGGAAAGCGTATCTACAAATGTAGAATTGTCAAGGGAATTAAAGGCAAGGAAACATCTACGCCCTTCGAAAAATCTCGCCTAGTTGTACAGGCATACAACGATGAAGGTAAATCCTTGGTCTTGACCCAGTCGCCTACTGTACAACGGGCAAGCCAACGACTTATTTTCTGCTTTGCAATTTGCTTGATCAGACAATTCGGCCTCATTTTGTTTCTTCGAGACATACAGCAAGCGTATACACACTCAAGGACCCATCTTATTCGGGACATATATTGCTGGCCTTCTCCGGAAATAGTACAAGCAAAGAACCTACCGCCAGGTACTCTTATGCACGTTGTGAAACCTCTGTATGGAATTCCAGAGGCGGGCAACCATTGGTTCGACACCTGGATTAAGTACTTGACAAAAGAACTCGCTTTGAAATCATCCTGTTTTGACCCGTGCTTACTTGTAACACACAGCAAGCCATTCAGCATTTCAGGAATGCAAGTCGATGATACTCTCTTCCTTGGAACCGAAGAATTCCTGAGATTAGAAGACGCTAAGCTAATAGAGGCAAAATTTCCCGCGAAACCCATTGAACGCCTATCTGAGAAAAACCCCCTTCATTTTAATGGTTTATTAATCACTCTTCGAGACAACGCTTTACACATAGAACCTAATGGTCAAGGCAAGAAGATCAAGCTTGTCAATCTTCAAGACCCCAATAGACTCGATATCTACAAGAGACAAAGAGCGCTTGGAGCATGGATTTCTTCGAACTGTCAACCACTTGTTGCCTTCAAATTATCAAGAGCAGCCCAATCTCAAAATCCTGAAGATCAAGAAATTAATGATCTCAATAGCGCACTTAGAGAACAACAGAAAGACGTCAACCGTGGATTAAGATACATTAGTCTAGATATTGACAAGCTGAAAGCTTACTGCTGGGTTGATGGCTCATTTGCCAATAACAAAGACCTTACCTCACAAATAGGTTTTGTAATCACTCTTGGGAACGAAACATTTGGTGAGAATAAATTCACTTTCTGCGGTAATATAATCCATTGGAGCTCAACTAAGTGCAAAAGAGTGACTCGAGCTGTACTAGCGTCGGAGCTATATGCCATGACCAATGGTATTGATATTGCAATCCCCTTGTGTATGACAGTCAACCAAATCATGGATCAACTAGCTCTACCGATGGTTCCGTTGATAGTTTGCACCGATAGCCGCAGTCTATACGAATGCCTAGTGAAACTCGGAACCACTAAGGAAAAGCGACTGATGATTGACGTCATGGCTATTCGTGAATCATACGAACGTGAAGAACTTGCTGAGATACGATGGATAAACGGTAAGGATAACCCAGCAGACTCTATGACAAAGGTAAATGCGACTTCAGCTTTAAATAAGCTCATTGACTCGAACGAATTGACAGTCAGATTGGAAGGGTGGGTCGAGCGAAAGTAGAATCGAGGAGTATGGCAACCGGCCAGACCAAAGTTCTTATTGGTTAAAAAACATCACTTTAAAGAGTTTTCAGTGTATGAATATTGGCTTTGATTACGTAGATAGAGACTTAAGTCATGTGATTTAATTAGCGAAGTGCTGGGGAACTGCTATTTGGCAGGAAGGTAATTGAGAGAGAACACATACACACTTTTTCGTACCTGTTTCAAACCTCTCGTGCTAGCACAATAATCTACCGGTGATATACCGACAGTAAGGAGTCAATATGCGTGTGGAGATAAGATAAGGTCACGTGATCCTGTGAAGCGAGAGGACACACAAAAGCCCACATATTCTTTTTGTCACTAGATTTTCTTTATGTCTTCCTTGTCTTAGTATTCGCTCAACAGTGTGAATATATAGTTATACAAGCCGTACTTTCAGTTGTGCTTATTCTACGCCGTGATAGATAGCTGCATATGCAGTTAAAATCTGATGCAAAAAAAAATAAAGCTGTTTCAATCTTATTATTGCAAATTTCTCACTCTGAACGCCACGTTGTTCAGAGGTTAGTCTTCTCCCTACAGACCATTTTCTGACTCCCCCAACTCCATTTTAATATCCTTTGAATTCTTATCAGATTCTTTTATCCATGAGCTGTTGAGACTAGCAATTTCTTTCGGCCGTATAGCTGGTCAATAAGTAGGGGAATTTCAAGATTTATGTCCCATTTTTCGGCACCTAATGCACTTACCTTCGTTTGAAAGCCTTTGAAATTTATCTTTTAATCTCCAATTAGCTCTGGGTCTGTTGTCGGCAGTATTATCGTATCCTGCATTGGGGGCCATAATAGCTGTTTGAAGGATTTTTAAGGCATTGACACCACCCATTTTTGTATCCCTACCTGCATCAATGACCGGCTGTTGGTTCGATGTTGGCGTTTGAGATAGTACTTGCAGGTTCGATCCGTTATGGGCCACATACCACGTCTTGCTTCCTGAAGAGCCGCGGGCCCGGTAAGACGGTGAATTTTCAAGACGACCAGAGATCCTTTTAACTTTGGAAATCAATTTAGCATAATCGTCTTCCGGCAAGTTTTTGTTCATCAGCAGCTGACGAAGCGGGGCATTGATGGCAATTTATAGATGCGTTATTTTATATTCATCCGTCCAGCCTGTTTTTCTACATTGTGAAATCTTTAACTCATATTCCTGAAGGTATTCCACAAAATACTGAGTGGCACCCATTCTTATTCGACCGAGTTGATTAGCTACCGTTTGGCGGGCTAACTTTTTCTCAAATGTTTCCTTCGGTTGATCTAGAAAATGATTCCAATTATAATTACTATCCAAACCACCAGTTTCAAGCCAGCTTAAGATTCATGGTTGCTGATCTGGCGGGATAGAGCGAAAAATATCGAAACAAATAGCTCAATCAGATGCGAGTACAGCTCGATCCTCTTCAATCTTAATTCTTAAAAGGAATAGGTGGGCATTGAGGGATGTAGTCGATCCATCCTATAGTGGCCATTGGCTCGGTTGCGAAGGTTGAATTGATTGGGATGGCTAAGTTGGATGGGCAGGCAGGGGTTGTTGGGGTTGTTGAAGTGTTGGAGGTTGCTGAGATTGTTGGCTTGCGATCTCAGCCATTATTAACCCTCGGAGGGCTTGATATTGGAACGATATGAAATTGGGAATGTTTGCAAGCCCAGGTTGTCGTGTTTGATGGCCGGGTTGCTCTGGACGACCTTGCGGCGCATCCTGTTGCTCCACGGGCGAAAAGACATGATCTGACATATTTTGATCTGACATTGTTTGAAACTGTTGCGAGTTACAACTTTCGTAATCACTCGAGCTTTTTTCTGAAATGGCAGCCGCAAATTTGTCTTCGTCTATTGAGTCGTTTTCTGAATCTGTGACTCGAGATTTATTACAGTTGGTTCAATCGCTGTCTGAGAAAGGGACCCGGAACATACACAACAGTGAATCTGTTATATCCTTCTTAATTAGCAAGCCGGAAATTGGAAATTGAATTAGAAAATATGTGCTGGGCTATCACTAAAACAATAAGAACAAAGTAAGCTGGCTGTAATACAGTCTATTTTCTAATTATCTAGGAAATGGTACCTATCTAGGCTGTAGGACATATATACATGTAGCTCTGGCCCCAGGGAGGTTAATATCCATCGGATCGGTGATTACTTATAATTCCATAAAAGAACATCGGCGATTAGTACATAGATAGGCACGAGTACATGGATGTAAGGCGCAGCCTGTAACACAGTCATGATGTTAATTCTCATTGCCCCGTGCATTCCCCATACGAAGAGTATACTAATAAGACTTGCCCCTCGCTACCATATTCAACCCAGGATCTCCAGTCTTTTTATAAGAATTAGTATTGCTAGCTTTAAAGTCCTGACGTGGGTGGAATATACGAACATGGATCGTTATCATGCTCATAATGGATTCTCGCGTCCCTAGTCTCGAGAATCAGATTAGCATTTTCCAGAAATTTGCCACGACCGTTATTTTTACGAATATCAGCATTTATGGCTTCTATGATAAGGTTCATAGGAATAAATGTTCCTTTGCAATCGAATCCTGAGAGAGCTATTGCTGGCACCAAAAGGCTCAAGAATAGAGTGATTGATGGAGGAGTAATCTTCATTTTGTGAATTATCTTAAGCTTTCAAAGTTGTTTTCGACTTGATATGTGATTACTGATTGTTGATTTTCGAGAGTTACAAGTTTGGTCAGACTCAGTAGATATCAATTATGGTTTGTAGCTGTTAGACCAACGTGGAAGAAATGGAACTTTTGGGTGTGAGTTACTGAGTGGAGAGTAAGGGCTTCTATTGCTCTAAATACTTAATACTAATTACTAATTACTTCATACTATTCAGACTATTCAGACTAAAGTAACAAGACTTATGGAAAATTTTTCCACAGCTCCCTAGTAACTTTTACGGGGATGATTGAATCCTTTCAAAACATGTAATCAAAAGTCTTTGCCAAGTCTAGACTATACAAGAATGAGAAGAAACTATATTTTCGGCTCTAATTGATGCAGATAGAGTCCCATAAATTCCATGGAGTTCATTTATGTGCTGACTTGTATTATCTAGTCTCCACAGCCGATAATGAAACCATTGCTTTCATCCGGGCTCCCAATTCATTATTGCAGCTGTAAAAATGAAGAGGATTACGTGAGGGAATCAGATAAAACTGAACTTGATCACTCCCCTCCCGCTTCTAGGAGAACTTTCATTTTCAGTACATTGTCACAAATAGCCAACAATATATGTCAAGTGGCTCTCAACTGATAATTATTGTTGGATCGCTTCGGAAATTAGTTATGATCGGCCGCTAACGATGTTAGATTGAACAATAAACCCCAGTTTATTCCATGCTAATCATAGTCTCTTGGTGGGTGGCTGTCCTATTTGCAAGCCAGGCTTATCCCCCATTGTCGAGGGGAGACAATTTCGACTCAGGCTCAACATCCGTATTCCTTAAGGAGAGCCAAAATAGTCTTCACTTGGCTATTACAATTTGTTGTTGGATGCAGGTTATTGCGACTTTATCTGCGCACGCAGTTTCCATTGCTACCTTCATTTTTATCTAATTTGGGGAAAAGGTTCCGCGGGAAACGCGGCTGACTTCAACGCACAAGCGCTGAGATGTTTGGAAATCCATTATTTGGAATATATCAGAGATCTTTTAGGCAACAAAAGAAGATAGTAGCTCTGTACAAGTTGTGGTCTGGGCCAGAGAAGAGCTCAATGTACTGGATTGACTGTGACTCAACTAGTACAATAAACCAAACCAGATACATCCATGCAATAAACGAGATGAGAAAAGGCCTAGAATGTAACGCTTAATTTAACCGTATTTGCGTCCTCAACTTGACTCACTTCCACTTGAATCATGATGGGCTCTTGCTCGCTGCCTAAATTGTGTTGCATGAGAGTAATTTGTTATGTTCAAAGACGTTAAAGGTCCATCAAAGTAAATGTCCATTTTCTTAGTCGATATTCTCGGAATATTGGCCCTCCACTTTATGGAATTTCGCATCATCTGTCCCTATTCTTTCCATCCACAGTCGAATTCACGGGTGGAGGTTGACTGGGGCCGAAGAATAAGCCATCATAAATCCGCAGTGGTACTTGCAAATGAAATCGGAGACTCGAGTGCTTTACTTTTTAATTAGATCATTTATTTTGTAATTTTCGTCTGATACAATGTAATGCCTAGATAGACTGCATGGACTTTATGAATTTTAAACTTTCTATTTGGGGTCCAGTTATTCAGGTGGTAGGTTTTGCCAAAGAGTCGCCTCAGAGACCCGTGGCGCCGACGGATTGTTAAAAGATCCTGTGACTACTATGTCCAGATGCTTGAGTTCTTCTCAAAATACGGGAGTGACTAAAGTTTGAACACAGCCCTCTTTTTTCTGCGTCAACATGAGGGACCGGGTGGACTAGAATGTGGGAAGTGTAAGATAATCTTAGCTTTGTGATGGTGTGGGATATGGGTATCTCGTAGTTCCAAACTCCTAATATGTATAGAAGAACTTAAGGCTAGAAGAAACTTGATTTTCTATTCATACTGGATATTGTCTATTGAAGTACATTATTTCTTGTCTTGGGCCTAGGCTCTGACGTGGACATTATCACATAACCGTTACAATTCACCGAAGCTTCGTAGGAATTTTTTTGCATCAAATTTTAATTGCTAATGTAGCTATCTAGCTATCACGCAGTATCAGAGACAAAGTACAGAAAAGATGACTCAACATATTGTAGTAATCTAGAGGTCTGTGGATTTAAATCCCCTTTATATCCAGTTGACTTGCTGTGCGCGGACAAGACGCTGATTTGGACCAGTTTTTAATATTCGAAAACAGAGCTGCAATGGTTTGGCCGGAAGCATAGATCCCTATTAGAGCTCGACAAATATGCTGGTGGCATAGAGATGATACCATACGCTTACTCGTGATGGCTCGGTTTAGAAATCACATTAAACAAGCCTGTAGAAGGTGCTAGATTTCATGTCTACAAGTACGACTTAGTAGATCCTCATTCCAATGATCAAACCTATCGTAGACTTTCTCTGGCATCAGACGGTCATCAGATACACGCCCACGCCGATATTTATACCCGACAGAGGACACAAAGTGTGGCGCACAAATCTGGGAGACTATTCTTTGGGATTGGCGTGAGAGGATCCAGGACAAGTCAACAAGATGATGCGGAGGATGCATGTAGTCTCGACGGGCGTGGAGTTTTAAATTTTGGCAAGGAGATTTTATAAATTGAGCTTTGTGCGTGCCAAGTCTTCGGTTGCGAGAGTGCAGGTGACACTGTAAACACCGCCATGGTTTGATGGTGCGGTGGTACATCGTATTGGCCGGTCATCCAATTAAGCTCTGGATAGCTTGGACACATATCCCACTCGAGACAGTAGATCGCTGCTTCGAATCCAGCAAAACACAACCACATTTCTCGCGGCGCTGGTATACATGGATGACGAAGGCATGCTCGGGTAACGAAAGGTTTCGAATTTCCATTTGGTGGGCACTTACGGAGGATGGTCGACTGTTTGTGTAAGCAAGCATACCTCATAGTGGTATTTGCAAATGAAATCCAGAGTATGAGTGTCTCTAACGTCAAAAGAGTCATCCAACATGTATACATAGCACCGATCATGTGTCATAGCTATATAGCTGCATACACCTTAAATGGTCTAAAACAAAGGGTCCTAGATTGTTACAAGCCACAAAAATTCTCAAGAATCACTTGAGGGACGAATCGTTTTCCCTTGGCCCAAGCGCTCCATGGATTAGCTTTCGCTACTTTCCTCTGCGAGACTGGTACATGGCATTCCAAGGGAGTAGTTCCTCGGATGCAAAAACATTGTGGTTATGAGCTATGCGGAAACCATATTGCGGAGTGATGAGGAGTGGATAGTGTTAAAAATTGGGAGTGACAGTGTATAGACACATACAATATTATGCTGTAGGTTTATGGACAGAAAGTATAAGACTAAACCTGTATCCGTCTATCCTGGGTACATCTATGAAACTATTTACATGCTCGCCTAACAAGTACACTAGTGATATATGCTGTGACCTTGAGCCACACACGATGTTCAATCCTCGACTGTCTCGTTGCCTCATATCATAACAAACAGAAAATGAATGACGCTAGATGCTTTTGTTCCTCGACATGGCCCGACTCGAGCACACGCACAATCATCCAGCCATCCACACGGCAGTAGCAGATCCTAAAAATCCTCTTCGAGAATGTGCTGAATCTGACAATGAATTGCTCCGGAGCTCTCGGAAAATATCAACTCTGCTCTAATCTTTTCTGAATCAAATTTAAATGTGTGTGCAGGCATCTAGGTATGATACAGAATCAGAGATGGAGTACAGAACAAATAACTCAATATAAAAATAAAACCTTCCCCTTGGCAAACTGGACCTCATGCGTGTTTTGAACAGGTCTGCGCGGCTAGTCGCATAGCTGGATTCAACTCTTTCAAGCCATGCCAAGCCAGAAATCTACTTTGGATCTCATTTTTTCTCCAACGGTCTTTTAATTGGGATTAATCAGGAGTCGAATATTTCACACAACGTGGTATGGCTCTTAAAATCACCCGTGATGACATTCCACTAGACGTCTCGGCAGAAAAATATGCTGCGCAAATTGCAGGAGCTACTGAGGGCTTGGAAGCTGCTCTCTCTTCACTCCCGCAGCTTTCTATGCAACTAACGTTACCTTGTGTTTTGATGATCAGGAAGCGGCTCTTCGGCTTCTCTCGTTAGCGCCTATATCAACAAGCTCTCGCCAAGTTGCTGAATTTCGACAGGTTACAGGCAGATGAACCGGCTGAAAAAGTGCATCCTACGGTGCCCTGGATATTCTGGAAACACCGGAAACAGAGCAACAAAAGCTCGACCAAAGTCAGCCTGTCTAATGGCTGTGGCATCTAAAGAACAACGACTAGATATCTCACCACGGTGTCCTCTACAAATTTGCAAGTGAAATATTCTCTCAAAGCCAACCGTCCATAAACTGGCGCCAAGGTGCTCATCTAAGAGTGAAGGAAAGCGATTGTTTGTTTTTCATAAAGTATTTCATCTCTCTTCCAATACAAGTCCGTCCTTCACCCAATCATCTTCTTACAGGCCATGTAATCCATCCATAGCTTTGTAAAAGCTGTTGTGATCTAGGAATAGCACAGAATGATTTATGCATACATGTTTAATCGCATGCTACGGTGCCTCATAAGGATGTTACTGTAGACTACTGCACAAATAGGGATAGATGTTAGAATGTAGAATAATTGGGGCTATCAAGTAGGCCACGTTGTTGGTACACTCGTGACTACAAATTCTGTACTTAGTTTCACTTTGGTAGTTACCTGAATCAATGCGCTCTACAATCTCAATGACTGAAGGGTCATTATTTCCTTAATAATAGACGCACTATGATTATTGGGACTACTATGTTATTAATCTGCAAGGGTCATTGGAGGATAATTTAGATTTGGTCGGCAGTCAATCGGGCGGAACGTACAAAACCATCTTTCCTGATCATCTTTCCATCGCCCAGCACATAAAAGAGTGCGAAGCATCTTTACTTGTATCTCTAGTCAATTATCTACAAGCGCAGTATATACAGACCATGCTTCATTTACATACGAGTAGTAGAGTCAGTATCAACCCGCCGGATGACCTTATAACAAAATAAAAGCGTAATGTGACAACAAATTTAAAACATCAAACAAAACAGAGTTAGCTCTAACATCACAAACAGAAATAGTCAAGAGCGGCCAATAATAGTTCAAGATTACGAGTCGTGGACGGCATGAATATAGACAGTTACGGTATGATTCCAGGGAGATACTTTTAGATAAAACCTTTAGAGCTCCGTTGGTCGCATGCTAGGCCCTCGCACACTCAGGACGCAGGGTTAAATGAACTTTTTGTGACGGTTTCTCGCCGCTCAGAATGCAGGTTCTCGTTAGTTCGATACCAATTTCGGACAAACTTCGCAATGCTAGAGAAGTTGGCCCACGAGGCAACGGTTCAAGAAACTCCGCCATGACAGATTTTCATCCACGACAAGATCGATCCTCACCAAAACCTCAGCGAGATCACCGGTACGACTAGGTATATCCTTATTTCCTTTACCAGATCTGCCATAAACTTATCTCTGGTCTCATCTGGCCACCAAATATACGCGCACGACATCATGAATAGCCGTCGTAGGAAAGAGAGCGTGGCGCTCAAATCCGGGAGACAGTTCTTTTGATGTAACGTGAGAGTAATTAGGACAAGGTATAAGATGATGCAATAGAAGAGTACAATCTCGATGGCTGCTACATTTCGAATTTTGGCAAAAAGATTCCCAAATTGAAGAACGTGGTGTCCGCCAAGCCTTCGATTGTGAGAGTACAACTGACACTCTAAGTACCGGTGTGGTTGGGTGTTGCGGTGATACATTACCTGGACCGGTCTCCTAGGCAGCAGCGGGTAGCTTGGACACTTCTACTTGAGACGGAGGTCGCTGGTTCGAAGCTAGCAAAGCTCGGCCACATTTGTCGCAGTGCTGGTGGGCTTAAGTAATCAAAAATTTCTTAGCTTATCTTTGTTCGGTATTTCGGGATCAGGGTCGACTGTATTATTTAAGCAGACAAACATTGTGGTGTTATTTGCGAAAGAAATTCAGAGCATTAGTGTCTCTAAAGTTAAAAGAGTCATCCGACGTGTGCAAATTCCGATGAGCAAGTGCCATAGCTAGTCAACTGCATGCGCGATAAATGTCTTAAAAAAGGTGCCCAGTTGTAAAAAGCGATTGCATAGGCATCCAGTGGCAGCCCAAGTTTTTCAAGGTTCCCATTAGCCTCATAGCTCATATGAGTAGAGATTGAAGGACTTTTCGAAGCGTAGAAATAGAAACTGGCCAAGGTAACTTAACGCAAGAAGATTTGAATAACTAAAGGTCAATCTTCTGAATTTCATTTTAGTGAAGAAATAACCTTCATAAATCTCTTGCTTATTTGAATTCAAGAGAATTTGTAAGAGTTCACAGCAAAATTATGCGAAAGTCATGTAATCGTATGGAACAGAGCCATATCGAGAAAGCAATTAACCATCAATAGAACTCACTGCTACATTTTTCTCTTGTGCTACGAGAGCCTGGTTTTAATATCTGTCTCTGTGATCCCTCATCACCCCAACCAGTATATGAGGCTGTTCTAGTACCTTCATCAGTGCTCCCAGGTACACAATTAGTAAGTTCCATATCCCTGTTGTTGATCTACATCTTGCCTATGAACTGGACCCAGTACAATAGACTTTCGTTTGCTTACAGAATGTGATATTTATAAACTAGTTTGGGTAAATCTTAAATAATTTCTAAACCAACTGCTCATTGATACATGTCGTGACTGATCTAGTATTAGCCGAGATATCATAGCACAAGAGCTGATCTACTAACCAGGTCCCTCATGTGCGGAGGCGTTTGCTTGTCCCTACAATGATTCTCATCATGATGCCGCCAGTAACACTGTAGAATTTTCAGTTTCTGGTACGATTTTTCAATGTACATATTTGCATGGATCTCTCTCCCTTCCAAATTTAGAATAAACAAGTGTAACACGCCAGTTTTGGTCAAAATTAACTTTGAACTTGTAGGCTTTTGATAAAAGTAAATGTCATTAGCTGTGGAATCCTGGTTTTTCTGGAATTCACTAACCTGGATAATCATGATCTATAAAATCGATTGTGGCTTTGCGTACATTTTGTTGTCGAAGAGAACCCATTAAGTAGCCATGATTTTGTTGGAAATGTTTGTAATCTTCAATGGCATCTAACACTTTATCCTCCGGAATATGACTTTTGTTGCAGTCATAATATGAGGCAAATGCAGGCAGCCAAAGGCTCAAGAATACGGTAATGAAAGGAAGAATAGTAATCTTCATTCCGAGATTAGAATTTTGAAGAGTACGCAGTATCTCCTGGAGATGATGTGAACTCGATCGATGAAATTTTCTCGTCAGTTTTTGCCACCTTTTCCTTGGATGAGCCGTAGAGAGTGTTCTTATTTCGTGGCTTTTTGGGCTGAGTGAAAACGAATGGAGTTCAGCTGTTTAGTGACCATAGGTTGCTGAGGAGTGTGTCGCTCTAAATAATTATCGTATGAGACTGTCAATAACAGAATTACTCTACTTATCCGAACATTTACTCTTCATGTCCTTGTGACTTGTTTAGAAATGATAGAATCCTAAAAATATAGGGTGATTAAAGTCCCTTGCCTGCTCTGAGACGAGGAAGGGCTGGTGGGAATCAATCCATGTAGCTCTTAATGAAATAGATAGAAACTCAGGAATTCTATTGGAATGTGGTGAAGGATTCATTGACGGCGTCAGGCCTCCAAAAGCCAAGGTGAAGCCATTAGTTTCACTCGAGCTTTCCGCACGTTAGTAAAACTCCACAATACTCTAGTACTATATGGGAGGGATTAGGTTGTGTTGAGTCAAATTATTCCCCTATGACTTCGATCGAGCTCCTCCTTTCAAATCCACGATGATGGCTATCAATAGATGGAAGGTGTCTATGACCTAACAAACACGTCGGAGTCTCCACGGAAATCAACCGTTAAACATTAGATTGCAGTTAATTTTTGTAATGACAATCCCATTCACTCAGATTGTAGTCCTATTTGCCATCAGGGCTTATCTCTAATTGCCGATTTATGACAGAAGCGATTCAGCTGCTACAGAAGTTCCCCTGCCTGGAAGCCGAAACGGTCGGCAATTGACAGCTACAAGAGAAGTCGAACGAAGAGATTAATTGAATCAAGGGATGGGCCAAGTGTCTGAAGATGGAATGGGCACCTGTCAGCCATGTCTTTCGTGTAAGTAGGGGTGTGATGCCCTCGCATAGCCGAGTTCAGTCAAACTAGGCAAAAGCGGAGAGCTTGGTTGGCAAGACAATGATTCAAGTCTTCTACCACATCCAATTTCAACCCCCAACAACATACCCCCTAACATGGCCTTATTAAATCTACAAGGACGACCCAGCAAATATTCATTTTAATCATGATAATTCTGATCGACTCAGACTGGCCTCAAAATATATACCCGCGACAAAATGAATACCTACAAATGGACAAAACTTGTGACTCGAAGACTGGGCAAGACAGATCTTTGGCATGGTTTTCGAGACATCAAGATAGGTAGGCAAGATGGTACTGAGGATTAAAATAATCTCGATATCGGTAGAACATCTATACCATGACAGGAGTTGTCCTAGCTGAATTCCAGTGTAAAGAGTTGTGGCCCTATTTGCTGTCGGGCACCGAACCAGTAGTGGCGGCAATGGAGGTCCTTGTATACAGCCCCAATTCATTACAATTGCAAGGATCGCGACCAAAATTGTATCAGTTTAAACAGGAAACTGATTCAAGTTCGAGATAGGGAAGCGGAAAAAGATGAGTTCTTCACCTACCAGTGGTAGTGGTGTATATGCTCAATACGCTCTACATATCTGGAAGGGTGAAAGGGGGACTATTCTCAACACCTGTCAGTGGTGTCCCCTACGAACCTCCAACTCTCACTGTAGAGTCTGCATAACAGAGATTGAGTAACAAAGTCCTCACTTCGACGAAGATTCCCAATCGCTTTCGCCGTCTGTATCGTCTTCATCTCTCAACACATTCCCCTATCACCATTATCATGGAGCTAATCACCATCAGATCAGATGGTAGGGTCGGAGTCTCACTCATCACCAACCCTTGGTCATGGAGGAGATGCCATCCGATGAGTTTCCGGAGCGTACCCAGCACCCGATACGGCGATGGTGGATTGGATCAAGTCGGCCTCGACTGTTACAAAGAAGGGAGATATAGATGAATATGCGCACCTCATGTGGTCCCGTTGTCTAGGCCTCGCCTGGCTGGGGCTGCAGGTTCTTGGAGACTTTTTCCCGCGCACGCAGTTTCCATTGCTACCATTTTTATTTTTTTCGGGTAAAAGGTTCCGTGGAAAAGGTGGCCGAATTCCACGGGTAAATACTGAGCTGAATGGCTATTCATCGTGGTCAATATATCAATGATCTTTAAGGTAGCAAAAGAGGATAGGATGTTATGATCCATGTACATGCGTTTGCTCTGCACACTCATGCACATACTAGTCTGCCAATCAACGATGTCGCTTTGCATGTGCAATGGATAGACATCGATGGTTGGGCTTGAGGCTGTATCGAACCAATGAAGAAGGCTTATCTCTTGGAGTTGTGCTCAGGCGCGAGATTAATTGTGTAGGTTTAATGGCATCCTCGATAAAGCCCGACATGTAGATAGCTAGGTGGTCAAGTATCGCCCACAGTGACATACAGACAATCACTTTTCTCCATAAACATAATCTAGAGCATCAAATACATTCTTGAGTCATCTCACATAGATTACCTGAGACATCAATTACTTCACCGTCTCTAAGTCTGCTCCTGGCCACTGTCCAGTGCTCATAATTCACAACATAGGACCACTGTGCAAGGTGTGGCCTGGGCCAGAGAGCAGCTCCATGTGCTAGATAGCCTAAGACTCATGTAGTACAATAAATATACATCTATCGGCGACTGTTACAATCAGGGCAGCAACATGACTGCAGTAGACAAATAGTACATATTGGAATAATGTGCACTGGCGCCATGAGATATGATCAACCCATATCATCACTCATCGGTATGAATAGTAATTAGCCAACAGATGCCCGACGACATAAATTGGCCTTGGGATCTACAACAACCTTCCCATTATGATTAAACAAGGAAGCATGTTGGAGTGCACACTGGTGTTCGGAAAACCACACTTCCATATATGTAGGGGGACATCTTACCACACATATAGAATTAAAGCAATTTAATCACAATTAACTATCCATTAAACATCGGTAAACCCTTTCGTAGAGTAAACAAATTCATCATAACTCTAGCTCATTCTCATACTTGATATTTCATTCTCACAATCTCTGGAACTATTCTAATTGTAACTGCCGAAGAATGAGTCATTGATCTTCGGACTAAGGCGTTGCTTGGTAAGCAGAGCCATACTGACTAAAGCTACAATGTGTTTTGGTAGAATTTGGAATAAACAAGAAGATTAAGTAATGTCGGCTTATCTCGAGCATAAAAGCAGACGTGTCATTATGGATGTGCTAGCCAGGATCTACAGTACGGCTGTGAATCCTGTATAGTGGGAGAACAAGAAAGGAATTAAGAGCATTAGAACAACGCTGAATCGTAATGCCCTTTACTGAATCATTACGATGGATCGTGAAACCGCCCTGTAGTAATTCCGACAAGTAACCTTACATGGTAAAACTTTCGAGCCGTGCGAACACCAAACTCCTCCAGTTCCAAACGTGAGCCTGCCTCACCAATTATCGGACATCTTCCGCCACACATTAACGTTGCGACTCGTAGGCGTAAGGGAGAAGATAGATCGCAGCACACTAAGCTCGGGGCTTAACATGTGGAAATAGGCAGCTCTAATGGGTGAAAGGTCGTAGGACTCGGAAAATACTTTGGAATCTTGGCACAAAGAATACACCAGACTTCAAGCTGAAACCCTACAACCACAAAAAATACACCAGAACGACTCAGCTTGAATACATTCAGGCAAGGACTGGCATTGGAAATACTTTGGCTTACCGATATAAAATTGGGGGGTCAGAGAGTGATTGATGTGACTACCGTGGGGAAGGGAGACACACAGTGCCACATCTAGTTCTATGGTGTAAAAAGTTTGAGGGTTGAAGGAGGAGAGAAGTTTGAAGGAAAATATCGCTAAAGCCTCGAATTACTTTTTGAACACACGTGGGGAAAACAGCATTACGTTGCTTCCTTGATTCAACCAAATGCCTTGGGCATGCAGAAAGTGAGATGGAGTGAAGGTAGAATTACTATGGAAAATATCATGGCGAAATGAGATGAATATATTTTGTACTTTAGAACTGGACCATAGCTACGTGGCTGAACACATGGTGAATTTTTTGAAAGAAAAAAGATTCTTAAACTCGAGAGAGGACAGGCATTGTAGATATGTAATGAGAGAGAGAGAATAGGTCATCCATTGGCGTGCTTGGCCAGATGCTTCTTGGAGGTGTTGCGACTTGAGGGTAATTGTGAGCGGCGCGGTTATGGTTTTGGATGCTGCTTTTGACACTTACAAGTGTGTGTGTTTTTATTGTACTACATGAGTCTATGACTATCTAGCACATTGGGCTCTTCTCTGACCCAGGCCACACCTTGTAAAGTGCTCCTATCCCCTTTTGTTACTTGAAAGATCATTGATAGATTCCCCTTGATGAATAGCCATTCAGCTCAGTATTTACCCGTGGAATTCGGCCACCTTTTCCACGGAACCTTTTACCCGAAAAAAATAAAAATGGTAGCAATGGAAACTGCGTGCGCGGGAAAAAGTCTCCAAGAACCTGCAGCCCCAGCCAGGCGAGGCCTAGACACCGGGACCACATGAGGTGCGCATATTCATCTATATCTCCCTTCTTTGTAACAGTCGAGGCCGACTTGATCCAATCCACCATCGCCGTATCGGGTGCTAGGTTCGCTCCGGAAACTCATCGGATGGCATCTCCTCCATGACCACGGGTTGGTGATCAGTGAGACACCGACCCTGCCATCTGATCTGATGGTGATTAGCTCCATGATTGTAAGGATTCTTGAGAAATGCCTCAGGCAGTATTTATGGGTCCCTTGTTTAATCCCACTAGTCTATTTTTTTTTTTTAAATCATTTAATGTGTATTCAGCTATCTAGCTATGACACATGACCGGCGCTATGTATACATGTGGGATGACTCTTTTGACGTTAGAGACACTCCTACTCTGGATTTCATTTGCAAATACCACTATGAGGTATGTTTGCTTACACAAACAGTCGACCCTCCTCCGTTAGTACCCAC